AATAAAAAACATTCACAGAAAGACACGAAGTGGTTGGTGTAAAGAGACCTTTGCCAGAAACCAGCACAATTAGCAAAAATGAGCTGAACCAAAAGACTATACTTGGGGTGATGGGCTATTGATGCACTGTGCAAATGATGTTTTATTGAGTTGTACCCTGAAACCTGTACAGTTTTGTGAACCACTATCACCCCAATAAATTAAATTAAAAATAAAATTAATTAATAAATAAAAAGATAAAAAATATATAATTAATACCATTTTTAAAATTTAGGCTTTATGTATGTATACTTCTCTCTGATCAATCTTTCTAGCCAATATATATTCAGACATGATTGAAATGATACAAAGAAAGAATGGAAAAAAGAAGTAGAATGAAGGTGGAGAAAATAGGTATAAAGAAAGTGGAGGTAAGAGATAGAGTGAAGATGGGAGTTGAGGAAGAATGGGGGTTGGATTAGCAAGCAGAGCGAGAGTGGTGGTAGGGGGGTAAGAAAAGTGCTTCAGGTTACACAAAGCTGCCCTCTGTGCATGAACTTCACCACCTTTTTGGTAGGTCCTGAAGCAGCCTGCAGGTCACACACATCGGGCACAGAACAGAGGGATCTGAGTTAACTTAGCTTCTAGGTCTTCCTAGTGGTCTCATGTAGGGCTTCCCACTCAGTGGACTCATGGCCCCACCCTGGGACATTAGAAATTGTTTCTTCTTTGTGCAGTGATCAACAGTCAGGACCTCACTGAATTTACTGATGGAGATGGGTCCTCTGAAGCTTCCACCTCAGCATTGAAAAGGAAAATTGGTAAGGAGGTGGGAGCTCAAGGCTTGGGGTACAGAAACCTCAATTAAGAGCTACTTTTTCCTGAAATATCAATTCTGAGTTCATCCTATACCATGGGTCTAGTTTATCTTGGAATCCAATTCTTTGTGCTTATTTTACTTGACCTTTTGGGATGTGCAAATTAATAAAAAATATCATTATGTTTATATTTTTTAAACATGAAGACTATTAATTCATAAATCCTATAAATCAATCAATGCACCCATCTATTGATTATATAGTAATAACAGGCTAGAGAAGTAGTGAGCTTACTTTAAAACTAATTCTGTGACTATAAAGAGTTGGGTTTATACAGTGATTTCTACAGAGAAGAGAGAGCTAAATATTTCTTTATTGAAGGTCATATTGTCATCTAATCACAAAGTTTGAATAGTATTGAGGGTCAATTCCTCCAGATCTCCTGTGTTAGCAGTAATGGATGAAATGTTTAGAAACCCAAAGTGTTGATTTTTAGAAAGTTCTCCAGCAGGTCATGACATATAGAATGACTTTTCAAAATACCTTTGCAAATAGTGTCTTAATTTTTCTTTTACAACAGCCTGAGGAAAGAGCAGGATGGCCATTGTTACTCTTGTTCCTAAATGAGGAAACAAAATCTCATAAATATTTTAAGGTCTTCCACAAAGTCTCATGGAGATAAAGATAAAAGAAAAGATTAGCTTCCTGAATTCTGGGTTATTTCCTGTGTAAAGCTGGAGCTCAATACAGTTATCAAAATATTATTCCCTCAATCCTTGGTGTAGCATGAGTGGTCATCAAATCTGTAGCTCTTTAGTGCACTAAGTGGTGATTGATTTTCCCTCCTTCTTGCTCAGAGTTTATTAGAAACATATTTATTTAGGAAAACCCACTAGGAAATGACCCCTCCCCCCCCCACACACACACAAAGATATTACCTTGTCTTGATGTTACAACAGAACACTATTGTAAATAATATTTTTGTTCTAAAAGTTCTCTATATTTATTAATGGAAAATGTAAGTTTCCTTCTGTTTTTAGAGTGCGTACATTCTGACTTGTGGCTTAGTGTAGGCAAAGTGCTTTGGAAGGTGGTCCCCAAATAGGCCTACCACTCAAACGCCAGAGAAGATTATTTCAAGGAGCACCAGAGAGTAGAAGTGGCTCTCTACCAACATGCTTCTTAACACAAGATTCCCAAGGTCTCCCCACAAAGAAACAGCAGGTGAAGGAATTGTGAAATGACAATAGAAGGGGTAAGTGGTAGAAGAGAGAGAAGTAAAAAAAGGAAAGATTCAAAGAGATCACAGGTGCTCTTTGCCAGTGACTTTCTTCTTTGGGGATAGGGAATGGCAGCATCATTAACCTTCAAGGCAGGTGACTTAAAGGGATGGACCAAGTGGCCTGTGTGCAGGTCATGGTATACGTGGGTTTTGATGATTTTTCAAGTGTATTAGCGAATTCCATACTCCATCAATTACTGAGACACCTAAAGAATGCTATTCCTTGTTCAATGATCAATAAACTTAGATCCTTTAGAATCAAGCAAAGGAGGAGAGTCTCAGAAGCCACCTGTTTATAACTCTAAATTGTATCAGATAAAATTGTATTTCTGGACAAATATCCAGAGTCTAAATCCAGAGCTCTGTTTTCAGGATGAATCTTTTTTTTTAAGTTCTCTATATGCATTGACTCATTACTTCTTGGATACAATTTTAAGCATTTAACTTTTTCAATCCTATTGGGAAATTATAGGAAGCAAGAGGCATTATAAGTGGTTGTTCAATTGGATAAATGCATTCAATTAATATATTGAAAATGTAGCAATAATACACTGGTAAATAACAGCCATTTTTACTATGCACTGTCATATCCATTAATGCTAAAGTATTTATATTCTATAGAGCATAGTGAGTGAACACAGTGTATCAACTATCTGTTGATAATATTGTCATTACTGCAAAACTTAGATGGTCTTCAAAGAACAATTTGTGCTAACATTAATTATTAATGGAAAAATGTTTTAGACCAACTACTTTCAAACTTAAATGATACTTAAACTATTGACTTACTTTTTGATTTTTCACAGGGCTTTTGTGAATACAAGTTCATTTTGTTTGCACAAAAAAATTAACAGGGAAATAGGGTAAGTAGGTTATCCCAGCATTAACAGAGGAGGAAACTGAAGGTGTTAGAGGGTCATTTATAAATGAGTCAGGCAGGAGCCCAGCATTATGGCCCGGAGCACAGAACTGGGTACAATTGAGGGAAACAGGAAAATGATAATCTCAACATTAAAATTATCATGAACCCTGCCTGTTGTGTGAGTTGTGATAAACTATGTAAGGCTACTGTAAACAAATACTGTTCTCTCTCCTTTACTTTATAGTGCCCAGTGATTTCAGAAAATCACATACAGCAGGGAAAATACTTTGTAAAACAGGTAAGAGCAAGCAAATATGAACTTTTCGTGGTTACAAATGAACAGGGTTTTGCCTTTGTTTTTACAAAAGGTTTGTTTCAATATTTTCCTATTTCCTTTATAGTAAAATACAAATTTGCTTTAATTTAATATTGTTTATATTTTAGCTTTTGCATTTGTAATGGCTGTGACAAATAAACCTAAAGAGGTCAATCACTCAAACTCAATACAATTACAACATTTTTCAAGTAAATATTCCAAAGGTTTCTAGAAGATAGAGGGGGTGGGGTGGGGAGGAGGAACTCTATTTTACAAAGTCATTCTGGGAAGAAGCCAAATAAGAGATCTGCCTTCTTCAATTCCAGATTTGTAAGACCACCTTGGGAAAGAAGCAGAGCTAAAATATTATACAATTACAGACATGAACACAAATTCATAAGCTACATGTAAAAGAATAAAGAAAGTGCAGTGCCAAATGCAAAGGTCCAGAAGAAAACAGAGAAGCCCTGCTAGTGTGGCTCAGTTTGGTCAGCATCCTCCCATGCACCCAGCGGTCACTGGTTTGATTCCACATTGGGGCACATATTAGGGTTGCAATGCCCTCTATAAGACTTTTCCTATATTCATGAATCTGTGTCTGCATTCTACAACGAAGAGCAAGACTAGAGAGGTTTCCTTCTGGAAGGAAGACTCAGAGAAGTTGTGAAACCCAGCTATAATTATGCCTCTCTATCTCCCATACTTCCTAAGTGTTTCCCCTTGAGGCGCCTGGGTCTTTGCTCTTCCTTCACTGCTAAAAACTCTGTGTGTACCATTCATCTATCTCTCTAAAAATCATTTGTCACTCAGACTTTTCATGCAGAAAAGGGTCAGATACACACAGGGCAAAGACATTTCCAAAGAATATAAACAAATCCTCTAGGCACTCTGAAGCATGGGAGAGAATGAAGCATCCTTACCAACAGAACAGAACTCAGATTTTCAGAATTGATCTAATACAATGCCATTAATCCCCAATCACTTTTGTCCTAATCACAATGCAGGAAGGAGCTGATTCCTTTCTGCCTTCTTTGGGGACAACAGCCTTCAGTGACCAAAGAGCCATAATAGAGAAGTGTGTGGACAGGAGGATATGAGGTCATAGAGTTGATCAGAGCCTTGGATGTAGCTTTTGATAAAGGGCACACCATTGTCAGACAGTAATAGTCCAGTTACCCATGCAATTTGAAGATTGTTCTAGAGTTTCCTAGTTCCTCTTTAAGCTTTGGAGAAAGTTGATGAGGAGAAAAAATGATATAAAGCAAGAGAACACAAATATTAAGTAGACAACATCTCCTTTAAGTTACCCATCATTATCCTCTCTGCCACCGAGTCAGAGCTCAAACAGGAGCTGCATGTACAGTCTTTGACTTTGTCTCCAACTACCTAACTGCAGTGGAATAGCATAGCTGGAGAGCTTCTGGCAGAACATACAGCACCTGTATGTTTCATTGTCATGTAAGAATCAAGGGGGCTGACTGGATTGGGAGTTAAGATAGTTTTATTCAAGCCTATCTCTGCTAAAGCATTCTAATTGTATGAGGTTTGAGAGGTGAGATGAAGATGGACGTCTTTCATTATGCAACAAAAAATACCACTCAAAGAAAAACTTAGAAACTCTGAAAATTTGTGAAATAAAATTTCCTAAGAACCTCTGTCTTTATAGAAACAACCTCAACATGGGAGGACCTTTTATGTATGCAACTTTAAAATGAGACACAATGAAGAAACTTCTCTTTTCAGGAATAAGAGAGCACATGGATGTGAATGTGGTTTTTGATGCTGAAATACTTCCTGTGACCTGTAGGGAGATGAAGGGCATATTAATTAAGAGAAAATTTGAACGAGGTAGGTTTCAAGGTTTACTTTAATCTGCAACCACTATGTGAGGGAAATCACAAAACACTACTGGAATACCCTGATTATTCAAGGAATTTGGGCCCCAGTTTTTTCTTGAGAAGAGCTGGGGTCCCAAAGATGATATTTTTACACTTTAAGAAATGGTGTATAAGTTCTCACTTCCACATGGAAATGTTTATGAGGATGCCCAAGGAAGCAAAGGATAATGCAGAAATGTCAGTCTGGGGATAGAAAATATTGTGTATTTTACTTTGAATCAGGTTCCACCTTCATATCCTTTACCCTTTCTGGAAACCATCATCAGGATAAGTGTTTAATGTAGTGATAAGTTCACAAAATTTATAATCAGAAAAATGTGAGTCCCAACTTTAACTCTGCAAAGAGTGACTGAGCAAACAGTGGGACCTCTCTGAGCCTGAAATTTCTCATCTAAGAAATTGATAATAATTAAAAACCCATCTGATGGTATGACTTTGAGAATTAATTTACATATTGACTATAAAATGTTTTGTGATTTTTAATATAAAGCCTTCCAATAATTGTCTATTATGATAAACTTCATATCAGATTATTATTAATATTCCTTTTGAACAATTAATATAAATAAATTTTTGCATCATAACTATTTTTAAATAGCTTTACTGAGCTATAACTCCCATATCATATAATTTACCTCTTAGAGTGTGAAATTCACTATTGAGTATTTTGTTTTTTGGCTTATTCATAAGATTATAAAACCATAACCACAATCTAATTTTAGAACCTTTTTGTCCCCCACTAAAGGAAACACCATATCTCTCAGTAGTCAATACCTATTCTGCCTCATCCCACTACCCAGCCCTAAGCAACCACTAATCTATTTTATGATTTATAAATTGGCATATTCTAAGCATTTCATATCAATAGACTCATGTGACATGTGCTTTTTTATGACTGTTCTTTCACACAGCATGATGTATTCGAGGTTCATACATATAGTACCACATGTACTATATTTCATTTTTTATTGTCAAATACTACAATATAATAGTCCATGGTATGGATATTCAATATTTCATTTATCTAATGTTTGGGTTTTCTCACTCTTTAGATATCATGAATAATGCTATTCTGTGTCAAGTTTTTGGTGAACATATATTTTTAATTATTTTTGCTATATACTCTGGAATGGGATTGCAGGATACATGGCAATTCCATATTGAACTTGTTGAGGAAAAAACAAACTATTTTCCACAGTAACACACCAGTTCATATTCTCACCAGTGAAATCTGAGGGTTCCAATTCTTCTGCCTTCTCACCAATACTTCTTATTGCCGGTCTTTCTCATTACCGCCATCCAAGTGGGTGTGATGTAATATCTCAATGGGGTTCTGATTTCCTTTTCTCTAATGAATACTGTTAAGTGTAACATTATCTTTTACATATAAGTTAAATTTTCCAATGAAAAAATATTTCATATTATTTTAAAATCAGCTACCCATTATTTCAGGGACAGAAAAGTATCTGCTCAATAAAGCCAATGAGTTGGAAGAAAATTGCTGTAATACAGGACACAGATGTTGCTTTGAAGCCATTGTGAGCAACAGGACCAGGACTTGATATTTCCATCCAAAGCAAGAAATTCCCTGGGAGGGGACTCACAGGCTGGGTTTGGGGATTCTCAAATATGAACAGTGAGGCCAGACTTTTCTGCTAGTTAGTGATCTTGAACCCAAATTGGGTGACTTCAGCTGCAATGTAGTGGGAAGCCAGTGTCTGAGCTCTGAGGACAAAGAGGTTTCAGATTCAACTTACCCTGGTCTTACAGGATCCATGATGAAGTGTATAAGAAGCCAGGATGGAAATTGGTTCACTCTGCATGAATTTGAACTTAAAGGAGGCTACGAAACCTGTAACTGGAAAAACAACGTGCGCTGCTATGAAAAAACTCTAAAGTGGCTGATGGAGGTATTATAGTGACACGAGCTTGGAAGTGATTTTCCTGGTTGCACTCTAAGATAGGTCACTTTTTTGTCTGCCAAATATATGTTGATTGACAGCTAACACCCCAAACCCTGACATTATGCTTATCCCACACTCATAACTTAGTACATGGCAGCACATTGATTTCTCAAAGAGGCTATATTGAGGTAGATGCAGGATCCTGGAGGAGGGATAGGTCATTCTGACTCAGGTGCTTGCAGACAACTTTAGGCACTGAAAAAAAGGAGGCAGTCTATGGCCAAACACGTGTGCAGAAGTCACTTCAGAAAAAGAATGGTGTGAAAACCGGAACCATAACTAATGTGGCTCTGTGGGTTGAGGTAGATAGATTGTGTGTGATAGAGCATAATCCATCACTTGGGGTTGTTTGTGGAAGGATTTAATGGAAGTCTAGGGAGTTTAAATGCATAGCATAAACAATGCAGAACCAGGAAGGTCTCCTGAGGTGGGAAGAGAAATATTTAAAATAGTATCTCAGACAACATGGGGCCTAGAAATGATTTCACTGTCTTTCAGCCCAAGAAACCTATAGTTAAACTACAATGCTCAGCTCCAATGTTACCCTCTCTGAATATTCCCTGACTGACCTGCCTTGTCATTCTTTCCCTGGGCTTCCTGAACTCACTATTAAGGCCCTTATCACAGTTTTATACTTGTCCTTCCATGCAATCCTTTATTCTCCTAGATCCCTCTAGTTTTATACATCTCTGTGAGACCAACATTTTTCAGAGTGTCTTACACCCTGTAGGTATGGGATACATGCGTAATGACTGAATAGCCCTGGTGTGAGGACTTAAACTTGAGTAGAACTGGTGGATATAGAAAGGAGGTGAGAGGGGTCAAAGAGATTATGAATAAAAAGCTCTTAAGACTTAGGGGGAAAGCACAAGAGCAAGAAAAAAGGTTCTGAAGATGATTTTCTGCGTACCATTGATTGTGTAAGCCTAGAATCCCCATCCTCCTAAAGAAGTAGTTAATCTTCTTTCTAGAATAGCAGTTCTCAACCTGTGGGTTGAGACCCAGTTGGGAGTCAAATGACCCTTTCACAGGGGTCACCTAAGACATCCTGTGTATCATATATTTACATTACAATTCATAACAGTAGCAAAATTACAGTTATGAAGTAGCAATGAAAATAATGTTATGGTTGGGGGTCATCACAACATGAGAAACTGTATTAAGGAGTCACAGCATTAGGAAGATTGAGAACTACTGTTCTATTGTAGAAGAACTGGTGAGTAGAGGGAGATGGTGTCTCATTTAGATGTCTTGGTTTGAGCTGACAGTGGGACATCAAGTAGAAATATTTTGGAGGAGGTTGCAATGTCTGTCTCACAAAACATAAACATAGGCTAACCATATGCTTGGATCTTTTTATCTTTCAGAAAAAACGTCTGCCTAAACCTCCAAGAACATATGGCAAAATAAAAAAGGTGATTATTACTTTATACAAGTGCTTATTACTACAATGCTCAGCATTGTAGTAATAATTTTATGTGTACAGCATCTTTTTATGGTTTCTCAGTTATGTATTTAACATTTCTTCCTCTTCTCCTCTCCCCTGACTTTATTTCATTTAATTAAGTTATTTATTTTGCAAGTGCCTTCAGATTTGTTTCATTGAGCATTAGGTTGTATGCAAGGTCAATCTTGAATGGTAAACCATTTGAGATGAGAATAGTAAGGAGCCATCTCAAAGCTAAGTTTTAGCTATAGTTGCAGATGTTGTCAGGGAGTCCAAGTTATAAATGCAAACATAAGTATGGAATACATAAAGACATTTCTTAATGATGTCACAGGCTCATCTTTAACTCAACCTAGATTTTTTTCATAAATGTTACTATATTTTAACTTTAATGAAATCTGATTGGAGCAAAAGTTTGCCCACTGTCATCAGAAGAACCTGATCTAGTACAGAGTCTATATTGGGTCATATACAAAACTATGTACTATTTCTTAAGGTGGGAAACTCAAAGCATATTTCTCTTCTGATTTTTTACATCATCTTCCAACCTTCTATAAAACATACACACAGACAAACAGAGTTCTTTCTCAAGCAGAAATTATTGGGAATTTTCACGAGGATGGTATTGTTGGAGAGGGAGCTTTTGGGAGACTGATGTGTCTTACATGAGGGTCTGACCTGGAAAATTGTTTACTTTAATGCCACCCCTTTGGCTCTACTCAGGGGCTGTGCAGGCCACCTGTCTATCCATGAAAGTGATTTCTCCCTCTATGGAAGAAGGCTATTAAGGCAACAAACACAATATATAATGTGCAGTGTAGATTCAAGACAAAGTGATGGTTTCTCTAATATTGGGCATGAATGAGAACTTGAAAAAGAGGGAGAGGTGAAAATTCTAGAACAGGTTGCACATAGCTGGCTACTGAGACTTTATATTCCAGAAATGTGAAGTCCAGGCCTTTATATTAACTGAAATTCTGGTTCTTTTGAACCTCCAGTCTTTATGCCTGTGCCTCAAACCTTGGGACAATTTACCCACTGGGTTTATTGAAGATAAATTGTTGTTTGACCTATTCAGAGACTACTTTAAACAGCAGTTATCTCCACCATTTTCCATGTATCCAAAGTTACTCAACATGGAGTACCTAAAAGAGCTAGTACTCAAGTTCCATAAGGTTCTATCCTTATCCATGAGTGCAATACTTTGCAGCAACAAGGTTCAATTGCCTCTATATTTTGTGTCTCTTTGATCAAGAACAGAAATGACCCAAAGTGACAGATCTTAGGACCCATTACCACCTCTGTAGATCCTCTTTGCCTCCCAGAACTTATCTTGTTGGTAAAGCCTCCTGATTTCTGAAAATTTAAATGTCACTCATGGCACCACTCAATAGCTTCCTGTATCCTGGTAAGGGCCACCTGTACTTTCTGGTGACAGCTTCTGTGTTTTCAAATAACCTGATATATGCCACCAAACAATCACTTATCTTATGTTAATATATACTAAAGAGATAGCATGTAATCTCTTTTCCTAAGTGAAATAATACTCATTTATTTACTCATTCAACATATAAATATTGAGTGCATAAAAATGCCCAATTTTCATTGAAGAACATTAAAATAATATCCCTGACCTTAAGGATTGTTTCAACTTCATTGTCTACCATGGAAAATTAACGACTGGAGGAAGGGGATTCTTGGCTTACACTAAAGCAATGTAGGTGTAGTACCTGGTAGTCAGCTTCCTGTGAAAAGTCAGTCAGGTGCCATCTTAAGATTTTGATCACAGGGAGATGAGGATAGCCTTCTGTATCAAGGGCACTGAATTCATTTTAACTTTTGGGTGGTGTCCCAGAAGAGCTACAGGAGGTGATTGAGTTATCTATGTGGTACTTTATGGTTCCCAGAACCCTGAATGATAGATGGTCATGTCATACTACCCATGGTGAAGAGTCTGTAGGTAGAAAGCAACTGTCCCAGCATAAGTGACCTCACTCTTGTTAATATTCTTTCCTAAGATAGATATTACAGGCCAATTTGTCATTGTCTTATTATGTCCTCAAGCATTAAAACTCACACTTGTTCAGGCTAAATCTCAACTCAAGTTGCACACTGGAATCACCTGAAGACTTTTGAAAAATAACATTGCCTGAATCCCACTATTAGACAAAATCTCATTTAAATTATTCTGAGTTATGATTTGGACATTAGCATTGTTAAAATGTCTTCAGATAATTTTGATACACAAGTTACTCATTCTATAACTTAGGAAGAATACTAATGCCTGTGCCTCAAACCAGAAAAATTGATTCAGAATCTCTGATGTTGGGACTAGGAATTTAGTATTTTATATACTCTGCTTTGACAATTCAAATGTACAGCCGGGCTAAGAAACAAAGAGCCTCAGAGAAAAGGGTTCCAAACTTGATTAAAGATTATGGATGCAAGATTCTTATGCACTACTTATATTTGTTATTTCTTTGTTCTGAAGAGAGGGTCGGCACTTTCTGAAGAATGATGATGGCAATCTGTGAATCCCTACAGAGAGGAAAAGAAAAATGGCCCCAGGTCTCCATGCTAGGGCAGTCTCATACTTCTTTGGGAATGTGATTCAGGATTATCTGGAACACTGAATGACAACTGTTGGCAAGATGCTCCTTGAACCTTGTACTTTCTCATATATGGCCATCAATGTGTGTGTGTGTGTGTGTGTGTGTGTGTGTGTGTGTGTGTGCATGTGTGCGTGTGTGTGCGTGTGTGTGTGTGTGTGTGTGTGTGTGAGAGAGAGAGAGAGAGAGAGAGAGAGAGAGAGAGAGAGAGAGAAATAAACATATATGGGAATAATACATATATATGTATGTATTATTTATTTCAGAGAGGAAGGGATAAGTACAGAGACAGAAACTTGAATGGTGAGAGAGAATCATTGATAGGTTGCCTCCTGCACTCGCCAGACTGAGTATTGAGCCTGCAACCTGGGCAAGTGCCCTGACCAAGAATCAAACTGTGACTACCTGCTTCATAGGTTGACACAACCACAGAGCTGCACTGGCCAGGCTCACAAACTGGCCACTTGTAAAAGCAAAAGAAATTACCAGAATCCTGTTTCCCCAAGATAAAAATTTCCATCCAAAAGTCTGGAACAAGACTCAAAATAACTTTTAGCAACTTTTCAACTTTTCAACTACTATCTGAACAAAGAGAAATAACATAGCTGTATTCCAAATTTTTGTGTCCATTTGCTAAAAGGACATTTCTGATATTTGTGTGTTGTTAACCGAGATATAATAAAGACTGAGAAACAGACCACTTTTTGTTATGTATTAGGGTTGGAACCATTTTTCAGGGTCTCAGCAGACCTATGTTCAGTGAACCTTAGAAGGATAAAAGAACTAACAAAGTAAGCTTAGCAATTACCATGAGGAGGATTATTTATAGATAGAATTTTGGATGCTAGTGGGAGTATAGAGCGAGAAAGGATTCTCAGATTTGTGGCAGAAGGTGAATGTTTTATGAAATGGAAGCACCAGGAAAGAACATATAGTGGGTGTGGGGACAGGATAATACATTGTTTTGCCTGGATGAGGTTGGGATGTGCTTTAAGAGCCCAGGAGGAGATGCTGGGGGAACATAGGGATGTGCACAAATGCAAAAGACAGGATGGACATCTGGGAGCTGGAGACATAGGGAATGTAACTGCAGCTTTGAGAGTGATTTGATGGAAACCTGAGGGATTCTGTCTAAATGTTGGAGGAAGAGAAGGAGAGATACAGCAATGAGGCTGATGGAGGGATGGCATGGACCACATGTATTTGGAAAAAAGAGAAACAGTCATGGCAGAGAAAGCTGGATGCTGTCATTCCTGCTTCCTCCTGCTCCTCCATGGACCGCTTTCCCTCCACCCAGCACTCATCAGAGGGTGGGCCAGTCCTGAAACCAGTCTCCTTTGTGTTACTTCAGATGGTCACAAGAGGGTAGAAATTCCTCCAGTAGACCATGGGATAGACAGGATGTTTCTATCTGAGATAGAATAATCACCAAGTTATTCTTGAACTGTCTGGGTTATCTCAGAAGGCAGAACCAGGAGCAAGCATCGTTCGATTCATATGTAAATGTTGCTTTTTATTTTTAAAAAGAGGGGGAAAAAGTGTTTTTCTGTTTTAATCATATCCTCTTCACTCCATTAATGGGGGATGCATATCCACCTGACTGGGGGATGGCAAATAAGAGCATCTGTTACCTGACAGAGGAATTGACAGGTGTTTATTAGTCACATATACTCCCAGACTGAGAAAGGAGGGCAGGGACTGCCAGGCAGGCCTCAGAGGGAGTAACCAGAGGCTGTGGAGGGTGAGGTGTGCCTTGGTTTCCCTGGAAGGTTGTGGCTGGCTCATTTGAACAATTTTGTGGGTGGCAGGGGCACTGAAACCTGTAATTCCAAGATGAGCAGGGTTATACAACAAGCTCCCCTGGAAGGGTCTGACAGGTAAACAATGCTCCTTGCCAGGGGACCCTGGGTAACCCTGCTCATCCTGGAATATCAGGTTTCACTGCCCTGTCAGCCATAGAAACTCTGGTTTTGTAGGAAAACCTTTTCTGGTCACAAAGGTCACTCCTCCTGAACTTCACCACAGATCAAGAATACTTTTTCTGAAACATCCACTTCATGCAGTTGGCTCACAGCTCAGGGGAAAGCACATAACTGTCCATGTAGCTTCCCACAGAGGCAGTGAGTTCCAGATTCCCACAGCACTGGTCTTCAGGGTCTCACTGGGGATACAGATATTGTTTTACCTTCTAGCCGGAAAACGCAGAGAAATGCAAGATCTGTGGGGATGAAGGAATGCTCTTCAAATGCAGCTGGTGTTTATGCTTCTTTCATGGGGACTGTCACATCCCACCTGTGGACCCTAAGAGGTTGGTGAAATGTAGCCCCTTCTCCTGCAAGGACCTTCCTCCTGCTATGCATACTCCCAATACAGTCTCCCTTGTATTCTGATGGGGAAAGAGCAGGGTCAGAGGTAAAGGGCCCAGCGGTATGATGTGGGGAGCTGTTTAAAAATGCGATCAGAGGAAGTTACTGTTCTCTTCTCACCTCTAGGAGGCTGGGTGCTTTGCCTACATATCACTACTGTCCTTTCCAGAACTATCCCACCATAGACTCCTGTTCACAGGAGTGCAAATGTTAGTTGTTTATATTCTGTGCTTATTCAGGAAAGACAGTAAATAAGGATAGTTTCCCTTATTTTTCCATGTTCTCAACAGGTTAATGGAGGCACAGGGTCTCCACAGGTTAAGGCCCACTCTCTGACATCCAGGCATGAAGGCAGGGCTCTTTGTGCTCTCAGCACAATAAACATGGAAAGGGGAGCCCAGCACTCACCTTGACACCATCTTCCAACCAATAAACCCATGCTGCTACTCTAGGGACCACAGTTACCACATGAGAGTCCTGGAGAATCTGGGAGGTGTCCCCTCATTCCCTGGCTGTGCCCATCTGCCATTCCTGAAAGAGCATTGGCAGCTGTGGGAACAGAGGTGTTTCTAGGCTTGTTTTGCTCACTTATATCTGACGTCTCAGGAAATCTTGGAGATGCACCTTCTGCACAATAGAGGAGTCTTCACGAAGTCAGCAGTGTTACAGTGAATCTGAGGTCCTGGCGAGACGGATGGGGCCTAAAGAGAAGTTGGTGAGTTGTATTTGACCCAAGACATCTCCCTGCTGCTCACATGAAAAATCAAACACTCATGGGTGAGAGGAAGGGTGTCAAAGGGTGCCTGCTCTTCTGACATAGCCTCAACCACACTGAAAACTCACCAGAACTTGCTTATAGAAAACAAAATGAAACCAAACAAAAAAGCAACTCAGCTATTACATGTTAGTATCCAAGAACAATCCCTGTTTGGGGAAACTTCCAGAAGACTACTGTGTTCATGCATCTGCCTAGACATGCATATGGGTTGACTCTTGCCAAACTGCTTTTCATTCACAGTCTCCTTCTTTTTGCAGAAATGTGAATTTCTACTCCTAAAGGCCTATTGCCATTTTGAGACCATCATTTTTCTAAATATTCCACATCAAAATTATGTGAGTAACAACAACAAACCATGTATAAGCTCCATAATGTTATCCAATCTTGACACAGGCACTGTGAATTCTGTGATTTAAGGCCCATGGGAGGGAGAGCTTGAGCTACTTTTTCCTTTACCTTGTATTTCCTCTAGATTTTATGAAAATCCACAGAATGTACACATTGTACTTTCTCAGTAATGCTCCTATTAATATATTTTTCACCAGGCTCAAGAGGTTTCTCAATGCCTAGAAACACTTAGGACATTGGATGAAATAAAGAATAAACTAAATGGAGGCTGTTATACCAAAGTGGAGGAGTTTGTGTTTGGCATGAACAACATCTTTCAGGATCCTAAGGTAAGTGGCTCTCCCTGCTTCCATTTCATTTTCTACTCATTGAGTCACTCTGCCTGCATTTCCTGATACTGGGAGGTTTTAGAGTTTCCCTTATCCTATGACAAGCCTATACAAGAAAAGATTCAGGGAATGGCTGGGTTTTTTAAGTGAGGATTTAAGTTCACCAGAGAGAGCATCAGTGAATAAGAAGTTGTCCCTGCAACCAGATTTCAGGCATCTGAGAGCTCATTCCTCTCCTCAAAGGTGGCAGGTGCCCATTGAGAACAGTGGTGTGCTCCCTGTTCCAAACCTAAGGAGAAAATTGCTTCCTAAAGTCATGTTATCCTTCTTATCTTCTCTCCCCCAAATATACTCAGTCAGGCCTTTCAGAGGCCCCAAACTGCAGATTTCTTTGCATGTAAATGAACCATATAAAATATCACCAGAGGGAAATAGAATTGACAATGTAAAATGAAGATAATTGATTGTACATATTGTTATATTTGATTATCACTAAGGCCTTAGATTACTTTTCTAACTTTCACTAAAATAAACGAACCAAAGCCAATGACTAAGAATCATCCATGTAGTAATGATTTCCCATTTCTGTCTGGACAACAAGGCTTAATCATGCTCTTAGGAAACAAAAGATACAATTAGATGCTTGATTTTCTAAACTTCACCTGGTTAATGAAACTTAGGTGTTTAAGACAAGAGTCCCCATCATTTTCAATTGTAAGTTGTCTAATGACATGATATTGGGAATAATTATGTTTGTCTGTGTGTTGTTGTTTTTTTTTTCCAGCACAATAACTCAGACCTAATAAAGGAGGAATTTAAGAAGAATTTTAAAGAAGTCTTTGCTATTCAGTAAACAAGTCAGAACGGTTCACTGGTGTAGTGGATACCTTGGAAAATCCCACTTTCAGGCAGATTTCTCATTCTCCTGCTGTTATGAATGTTGGCAGCTCATGCCATCTCTTCCCAATGTACTGCTTTGGGGAAAATGGAGCCAGAGTCACTTGAAGGTTACATCTCTTTGTGTTGGGGGTTCTTTCCCAGCACCAAGTCTGAACTAACCATGTGAAGTGATTCATGTTCCTGTGCTCCCCAGCTATGACCACATCTTGCTTAGCATTTCCCTCCATGGTATCCTGCTTCCCTTATCCCTTCTCCTCTTGAGAGAATTCTCACAATAAATCACTTAATGAAGAGACTTTATCTCAGACTTTGCTTTTACGGAACCCAGCTTCACATAATCATATTAGCAAGCCATCCCTACGCATGGAGTTCTGAGTTGGATCACTGTCTAGTTATATGGTAACAGGTAGAATATTGATAGGTCATGGGCTACTAAAACAGTGCAGTTGCATAAACATTCACCTGTAGGGGAAGAGGTACTGATGCAATTGTCAAGCATTTAAAAAGAAAGAAATCATAACTATAAGAATTGTATAGTGATAAAAATTCAGAGAAGACTGAATTCTAAGACAATGGTGGCCTCTTGTGCTGAAGTCAAATCCCTGATAAAGAATGCATGAAAACCTGAAACTCAGAGTGGGGCTTTCTAAGTAGATGCACCTGAGTACTCTGAACTCTAGATCCTTATGAACCCACTGTCTTTCAAAAGAGACCCCTGTCCCTGTTTGTAAACAGACCTTTTCCCTACCCACCATCTTGTCTGAACGAAGATTATGCAGAGTTTTCTCAGCAAGACCAAACTAAGAATATTCTAGATAAGACTGTTAGCTGAAGAGATGTCTTACTCCAACAGAGCTGCAGGTCTGGCCAACATGTACTAAGAGGTGTCAGGAGATTGTGTGTGGGAGTAGATCCTGGAAAAACAATGTTAGAAGGTGAAACAGTGATGGGGGAATGCTGATATAGGCACACTCTCTTGGGCCACAGCGTTTAATTAGCCTGGCAAGGTCCAAGGGCAATGATTTTAATATGCTCTTGTGTGGCTCTTAGAGGTTTGCTATCACACAGTGCATACTAGATGAAGTGGAATAAGAAATATCAGACTTGCCCTAGCCGGTTTTGCTCAGTGGATAGAAAGTTGGCCTACGGGCTGAAGGGTGCCTGTTTCAATTTTGGCCAAGGGCACATGCCCGGGTTGTAGGTTCCATCCCTAGAAGGAGGTATGCAGGGGGTAGCCAATCAATGATTCTATCTCATCATTTTCCTATCTCTATATTCCTCTCTTCCTGTCTGAAATCAATAAAAATATGTTTTTAAAAGGAAGTCTGCCAGGCCAATAATTATAAAAGATATCCAAAAACCTTAGAAAGATGTCATGGCTTCATTCTGTACAACTGGAAATTCCATCCATGTGGTTGCTGTGTCCTCTGATGCCTCAGAGACACCATCTTAACAAGGCAATAAAGAATATATTGTTGAGACAACAGCTGCATCCTTGAAATGCTCAGTCCAGACTGTCCTATGTAGGTTGGAGTAATGCAGGAATGATTTACAGAGCTGGGTTCCCTAACAAATAAATGATAGGACTCTATATAAGACTCCAGAATAACTGAAGCTAAGAGGCAACGTTAACCGTCATAGCAAGATGAGTAATTTGTGTAATGGACAACAAGCTTAGAATTACAAGCAGGGACCCTGGCCCAAAGATGTCTAAGAAATTAGCTACTAGAAGATACTGTTCTTATGGCAAGACACATGTGGTTAACAAGGATATTACTTTATATATGTCATCAAAAAAGATTATAGATAGATTATCAGATGATTGAAATGTTACTTCAATGAAGAGTCAACATTCCTTGCAAACGTTCCAGACCTTAGCCAATTCTTGACTCAGAAGCTTGTTGATGGCAGTTTCTTATAAGAAAGGACTATGCAAATGTATACCATAGTAACTCCCTGAATTTTTCACTACAGGCACATATGGCCATTTATTCAAGTAACATATATGCAAAACAAAGAAAACTCACAGGAATTTTAAGGGTTATTGAATCAATATATGAGTTGATACTTTGGGGACCCAAGACACCATAATGTCCTCTGTTAGAGTATATGGAGGTAAAGTAATGTATATCTAATGGTGAATCCACTCAATCTACAAATTTCCAAGCTCCTAACTATATAATCAAGACACACAAACAGTTTTTTTAAAAACCATTAATTCCTTAACCTATGAAATAACTATGACTCTCCTGGGAGAAACCAAATGTGAAGCTCTAAAATAGAACTTCTCCATGGTGAACACAGTTGGTTAAAAGCAGTATTATATTTCTGAGGAAGGAGGGAATGGCAGAGGCTGATGCCACCTGCAAAGGTTGAAGGATGAAAGAGTTATAATCCCCTTTATATCTCCATCTGATTCAGCAGTCTGGCTTAGGAAAAAGCTAGATGATTTCTGGCTACTAGATAACTACTAGAAACTTAAGCAAATGTGGGGCTTATATACCTGTAAAGTCTGGAAGAAGACATTGCTAACTTATATACACTCATACCAACACAAGGAATCAAGGATCATGAAGATTCAGGTGAA